TCACTTGTAGATTATGCATTTTGCTATTAGCCATGTTTAGCCCAAGTTTAATCTTTTCACAAAGCCCAGGTTTTTTGTTTTTGTTTTAAATGAAGGTGTCTTTCTGTTGTAATAATAACATGTTTCTCTGAAAATAAGATCGGGTCTTATATTATTTTTTGCTCCAAAAGATGCATTAAGGCTTATTTTCCAGTTAGTGCTTTGGGATATATAGAGACAACACCTTACAGCACCAGTGCCTTATATTGGATGGTGTGGCTGCTCTTCACAGCTTTAAAGCATCTTTTGCCTTCCTAATCAAGAATCACAATCATAGTGATAAATCATATTGGATTCTTTGCGGCACAGAATTTCTTTAAACTCTGAACAAGTTTTCAAGAACTAGCCATGAAGATAATTCAGATCTATGGAAAAATATAGGAGATTGCTTTGGCCCAAAAAAAAATAATAATAATTGAAAAAGGATTTTTAAAAAATTCAAAAATTAAGAAAATATTTTTCAAACATAATTTATAATAATGTTTATTGGTTGTAATAACAATGCTATTTCTAAAAGAGGTCTTTTATTTGTACAAATGTCATTCTGGATGGAACAATCTAGAAATTTAAAATATATTTCTCTTTAAAGTTACCTCTAAGGTTTTTTTTTAAATTCATAGTTCATAGTTCTTTTTGGTTTATGTCTTAAAGTTTTGCTTTTGCTTTTTTAAAAAAAAATCAAAAATCACAGTGTATCATGAGGCCTCTGCATTGCCCGTAGCCATTGATTGTGTTGACACAGCAGGCTCTCTCTCTCTCTCTTTTTTTAATCTCTCTTACCTGCAGTGTTTCAGCTTTGTTTATATATTCATTTTTCTCCTTCTCTCGGATGAGCTCTGTGCTGGTCAAATGCAATACAACCTGTACTTGTTCTCATGCTGTGTCACATTTCCAATGACCTTTATAAATGAACAAAATCTTGAAATTATCATGTTATGGCTAATGCGAAGTAAATTTAAAGCTTATACTCTCCCTCCGTTTTTCACTGTTTTGTAGAGAAGTATGAGTGGTGATCCTCAAATGTAGCTTGCTGCTTATGTTAGTGAATAGTCATAACCGCACTGAATCGTAAGGATAAATTTTGGATAATAGGGAAAGAAAACGCTGGCTTCTAATTAACTATAAATGTGATATAGTACACTTGTAGCTAGCTAAGAAATTGTTTGATATAACTTAAGCCAGTTGAATGATATTTATACTTCTTTTCATTTCTCTATTATAGAATCTAGGATTCAGAAAGTACAGGTAATATGAATTAAAGGAATACACCATGTAGACCCTGCCCTTCTCTTCCTTCTTTTAAACATGCAGCTAAGATGGAAGTTGCATCTTCCCCTAGCCAGTGACCCAAGACAGATACAATTCTGGAGGGCACTCATTTAGAGAAGATGTATAAATGCTAATTCATGCTGTTGTCTTAAAAAGAAAAATACCAAAGATTTGGATGAGGATGCTATTTTTTAAAGGGATATTTAGTTGCAATGATTTAGACTTTTTAGAAAAACAAAAGATACTGTAGTAGTGCTTCTTAGGTTGGAAGTAATGCTTCTTAGTTTTTTTGGGGGAAGATAGGAGGAAGTGGGAGGCTCCCAACTGGTTACTGACTTTTTTTGTATCTAATAAACGCTCCAAACACTTTCTTTTACAATGCTATAAGAAATTTAACATCTAGCATGGTGAAGGTTAACATTTCCATTTTTGCTTTGTAGAATTAGTGTAATGCCTGACTGGAAGAAATAAACACATAGTGCAAGTCTTTTTCAGGCAAAAGGAGAAGTCCGATTTCACTCATTCACTCACTAATCTTATATGGCTGCCTATTTACCAAGCAACTCTTTGACTCTATTCAAAGACCTTGCCAAGTTTTCTAAGAACATAGTCCCATACTTCATACAGTTACAGTTACCTGTTTGTGCTATCAGTTATGATTGATTTGTCCTGTTCTAGAGTGTGCACTGTTAGCACTAGGTTTGTTGCTTGGTGTAATTTGTCTGTTAACAAGATTTCCAACCCATGTGTTTTAAAAATATAAAGTTCCTTTGTAGAAACAGTATAATGAAAACAAAGTATGGATTAAAAGAGAGAAAGCTGCTGGCTCCTTTATTTTATTATTTTATTTATTTATTTTATTATTTAAATTTCTACCCCGCCCTTCTCCCTGCGGACTCAGGGCGGCTTACAGCCTTTTAAAAAACAAGTACATAACTACAAAAATACTAACGTTAAAAAGTTAATTAAAATAAAATATTATTATAAGGCCTTTATAATTTAATTAATTTTTTTTTTT